TCGGAAATCAGAATATCTTAATATTAGTAAGCCCATATGCCTTCTTTTAGCTCAGATCATATTTAATGAATATATTATTAAATGGTACCCGATATATAATAGTCAATACCACATTTAAAGTTATTTTGAGGTTTAAAATTTCTACTAAAATGAAGTCAATAATAGAGATTAAAAAAATATTTTTATTAATGGTGCCAATATAACTTGTTCTATGTATGATTTACCACATTTAAAATTATTAAGAGGTTTATTAAGAGGTTTAAATTATAAAAAATTAAACTGGGTTCATTTCTAATTAAAATATATATCAGACAATTAGAATTTAAAGGATCTCATTAATAGCAGACATTAGATCCAGTAGCTTTCTTGTAACTTTTTAATGTGCATTATATTTTCTAATTCTTTCTAAATATGTAGGGCTAATCCAAACGCACCTATCAGAGCAGAAACCGAGTCCGGATGCTTGCGCATGAGTATCCGCTCCATCTCGCGGCACTGGCGCTGCAGATCCTGGATGACGCGAGCGTCCTTCTCCTTGCCCTCGCCAGTGCGCCGCCGCTCCTGGTGCGCCTCCTCGAGTTCCTCGCGCAGGGAGCGCTGCAACTGGAGCGCCTCACTGCGATCCCTGCGCGCCGCCTGCAGTTCCGCCCGCAGGACATTGGCACACTCATTGAGATGCTGCACATCCAGCTTCAGCATCTCGGACTCCTCCTGCAGCCGGCCGTTGTGCTCCCGAAGGGCACGTTGCGTCTGCGACAGCGAATCGCTCTGCAGGCGCACAGAGGCCAGGCGCTCCTCGGTGTCCTTGAGCCGCTCCTGCAGCTGCTCGATCTCCAGCTTGAGCGCATGCTCCCGGGACACACTGCAGGCGATATGCTCAATGGGTGAGCTCAAAGTGCTGACCAGATGCTTGGGTGAGCTGCCCACTGCCTTTTCGCAATAGCTGGCCATCGGCCTGATGGGCTGGCTGTAGGAATGAACCCTTGACTGTCTGCCAGGTGGACTCCTAACCAAATGGCCAGATGGATGAGCTGGTACGTCTACCTCCGCCTCGGTGATCTCCTCCATCTGCAGACAAAAAATAAAAAAAGATTTGAGAATTAGCTATGATTTTTCCTTTGTTATAATTATGATAAATGTAGTGATAGATTGACATACATATAGAATCTTAAATATGAATAGATAAATATGTTACTGGAGAAAGGAGAAAACACTTGCAGTGTTTTTAGGCTCCCAACTATTATTTAGAAAAGCCCTACCCACAAAAAGAAGTCACGTTTTTCCCTTTGCAAATTTAAAGGCCCAAACTTAACATCTCATTTACAGACGCCGTGAAAGATGAAGAGGTTCGATGGGTCGGGACATGTGAAAGTGCGGGGGTTTGCTACTCCTCCGGGGTGTGGCAGCTTAACGGTAATGAGCCACAAAAACGGCGTGAAGGTGCGCGTTGCGGGAATAATAATAATACTTAATATTTGTCGTCGCTTGGCGGTTTCTTTCTCTGCCGACATCATCCTCTGCAGAGGGATAGGTGACCAGAGTAGGCCAGTGGAAAAACAAAGCCAGTTAGAAACACACACCGCAATGACAACTTCATGTCCCGCTGCACAGTGGGATAATTAGTAATTGTTTGGACAAAAAAATAATTTTAGTTTTAAAATCCTGAAGAGCTGAAGGCCTATAGCTGCTATAGCTCATGCCCATTGCTAGCATTTAGTTCCGAATTAATTGTTAGCATTATATAAATAAGTAAATAGTTTGAAAATCAACCCAACATATATTGCTCTTCCTAACTATAATACATTTATAGCATTTTTATTGGCATTTTGAGAAAAACCACTTATTACTAACAAAAGGTTATCTATTTAAGATCATAAGAGGCATATATACAAAACAAAAGACTTAGGCAACGAACTTAGAAGTACAATTTTCAAGCCGAAATCTTTTATAACACAAATTTTTCAATATCTTTTTTTATGTAACATACTAGCTTTTAATAATATTTATGGTGTACCCACACTGTTCAAAATTTATTACAATAAATGCTTAATATTAAATCTTACAGAATGGTAAAAAATATTTTTATCAAAATTTATAAAAGTAAAGCTAGAAAATATTTTAAACAAAATTAATTATAGAAAAATCTATGAACAGTAAACATTTTTGCTACTTAATAACAATTAAATTTAATTTACCATCTTTAAAACGAAAGACTTAGGCAACGAACTCGGCTTGGTCTGTTTTGGCCCACTGTGCGCAGTCGCAACCCTCGTCAAACGTTATCGACTGTCAAGTGGCACTATGGGCATTATGGTTAGCCGTAACCGTAAGAAGATAATTGGGATGATGTGGGCGTGCAGCAGCAGCAGCAGCAGCAACAACAACAATGCACTCAACACTCAAAAAAAGCAGCGAAATATTGGAGAAGAAAGAAAGTTCGTGGCACTGCCGCCACCCCCTGCCCCACCCACTCCGCCCACCATCGCCCATTGTCCCACTGTACTCGTGTTGTGTGTGCATCGATTTTAAGTTGTTTTTTTTTCGGCATTTAACCGCCAGCAACTGACATTGCGGCCCACTCTCGCTTTCATCGAGTGCGCCGCCAACTTGGTAGTAGAATCTACCTGAAAAGCATCGTACACCTTCCACCGTTTGCACCATTCACTTCATTCATACTTTTGTGAATTTTATGGGGCGACCACTTTCCACTTTGAAATCGGCTTGAAATGTGTGAACTTATTGGGCTGGTAATTGGAATTGGTTCTACTTCGTTAACAGATTTGAATGGTATAGTAAATACTGGTATACTTGAATAACAAAAATGTCAACAATTTATTAATTTAATTTTATATACATTGTTTGTTGTTGATTTATTTTACTATTATTATTTATTAATCTAAATAATAAGAAATAAAACGAAAGACTTAGACAACGGACTTAAAATAATTACTTTTTTTAATTTTAATTAATATAAGCGCATTTTTTAAGTTAAGCTAATTAGGCTAAGCTTTTAAAAGTTAATAAACATCTTATATCTTCAATAATAAAATATATCAATTGTTTTTGTAATAATTAAAATAATAAGAAATAATCAAAAGACTTAGGCAACGAACTTAAAATACCATTTTTAAATAATAAATAATATAAGACAGCTTTTTTGTTTAAGTAATTGGTCTAAGCCTTTAATAGTTAATGAAGAAGTTATTATATATTTAATAATAATAATAAAAACAATTGAATTGTTTTTGTTTTTATTTGTTTATAAGAAATAAACCGAAAGACTTAGACTACTGATTCGCCTAAGACTTTAATAGTTAATAAAGATCTTATTGCCAATTAATTAGCACTACTTCGCGAAATGAACGTTCAAATATTTTCGCATCCATTAGATAAATTTGCAGTTAGGTGCTAAAAAGTGAGGTAAATATCGAGTGGCACTTGCCAATCATCGCCAGATGTCGGTCGATTCGATCGAGAAACTATAAGTACATATAGGAGATAACTATTAAGGACAATTTCACTACTTGACCCAGGCAATGGCGATTTCAAGATACACATATGTATATATTGCGCTGCCCGCTTTGCAATTACTTGAACTCTCGCTCTTCCTCAATTGTCATTTGATAAACTCCACTTATAAAGTGAAAGGAGCGGTAACAGCGGCAATGGGACCGCCACCAATAAACCACCGGCAATTGTTTGCCCGCCGACGAGGTGCGGTTGATTAGAGAGCAGAGCGTGGGTACTGGCCATACAAACCATATACAAGCCACACACAAAATACAAAAACAGAGCGACAGAGCAACTTATTCAGAAATCATGTCAATGAGCAAATTGGAAACTTTTAAAGCGCGCCAACACAACACACACACAAAATAAAAATAAGATACAAAAAAAAATATACAAAATAAGAGGCGATCTGCGTGTGATTTCGTGTGCCAAATCTGAGGAATCACGGGTGCGTCCTGCTGCACTCGTTCAATAAATACATATAAATGCAGGTATATATAGCCATTAACCTGTCCAACATCGATTGCAATGACAATAAGCAGTGCAGTTAACACGAAATTGCCAATTGACATCGATTATTGATTGAGGCCCCAGCTGATTCAGCGATTCAGATCGAGATCGATATGGAAATGGTTCATCAGAATGATTTGCTGTGCATATAGAAAGTCGAGCAGTCGATAATTGTGACAGTTGATGGCACTTACGGAGAGCCACATTTAGTATTTATCAATATTTAAATGAGGAAAAGTTATTTATGGATTTAATTGTTGAGAGGAAATGTAAGGCAAGCTGTCTCTTAACCCATTGACAACCATAGATAACTTTGACATATTAATGGATTAATTTCTTATCTGGAAATTTGTTTATAGATCTTTTAAGTTTCATCTGTAACACTCATAAATTTTCTTAGTTGACTTGTTTTTAAAACATAAATTCTTTTAGTTATGAATATATTTTCAACTTTGTAATATACAGGACCAGCTTAAGTTATAAATAGATCACATGGTTAGTTTCTCGGGCATTTCGGGGTATATCTTGAGTTTTGATCTGTTATAGCATTGAATACATTTTGTTTATCACAATTTCTGGTTATGCTTTGCATCGATCCCGAAAGAAAGCGAGAGCGGGTGACCCGTCGATATGGAAATGTGGGATCAGAGGCGAAGATGGTAAGATAGCCATGGTTATGCCGATGACACTTGCTCAGAGGGGAGGGGGGATTAACATAAGCGACAACGACGACGACGATGGTCTCTCACAAGGAAGAGAGCCAAGCCACGGGCTTTTGGTTTGGACACTTTTGAAGACATTAACATACATAACAAGTTCCACACTGTGATGGCCAGTGTAAGCGGGCAGCGACGCCGACTGCAGCGTAGTCGCTCTGCCGGCAGCGTGGAGAGAAATATCGAAAATGAAATGGCAATACTTTCCCAGCGTTGGTATAAAAGCGCCACTCCACCAATGGGACATGTCTCATTACGGTTCACAGTCAGATCCCGCTAAGATGTACAACGCGAGATCGCGTGGCAACGCTGCCAACGAGGGGATTTCCCCCAAAAGAATACTCACCAACGGCTCCCTGCTCATCCTCATCCTTGGCGTTGGGCAGGTGGCGTCCATGTCGCTGGATCGCCTCGCCCTGGAGAGGAACGAGTTGCCGGCAGAGCAATCGCATCAACAACAGCAGGATGTCCTCGTGGACGATATGAAACTCACCTCCATTCCCTCCGCCGACTCCTCGGACATGTACATGCTGGTGCCCGAAACGGTGGCCAGCCAACTGGAAGACACCGAGCATGTGAATCGCAACTCCATCGAAGCCGATCCCGAGTCGGATCCCTCCAGTTCTGCATCCTCCTCCTCCTCCGACATGCTGATGCTGGAGAGCGACTCCAGTCCAGCTATGCAGTTGGTGGAGCTGCCCAGCGACATTACGGTGGCCGAATCCCAGCCAGAATCGGAGCACGATGTGGATCATCAGCAGCCCGAGTCAATTGAGGAGCATGTGGTGTTGATGAAGCCCCTTAGCCAGGAGGCTCAGCTGGAGCAAATAATGGACTTGGCCACAGAAGCGGCACCAGTTCCCCTTCAGGATGATCAAGCAGAGGATGAGGAGTCTCCAGCTGCCCCTGCCACCGAAAGTGTGCTTGAGGAATCGGAGAAGGAAGCCGAGCCACACATGGACGATCAGTTGCCCGAGGAATCGGAAACTCAGCCGGAACAGGTGCTCCCCGAGGAATCCCAGCCAGAAAGGTTAGAGAATGGGGCTCAATCTGAGATTGAAGCTCAGCCAGAGCTTCATGACCAACCAGAAATGGAGGTTGAATCTCAGCCAGAAGCTGAAACTCAGCCAGAGGTTGAATCCCAGCCAGAAGTGGAATCCCAGCCAGAGGTTGAATCCCAACCAGAAGTGGAATCCCAGCCAGAAGTTGAATCCCAGCCAGAGGTTGAATCCCAACCAGAAGCTGAGTCCCAACCAGAAGTGGAAACCCAGCCAGAAGCTGAATCCCAGCCAGAAGCTGAATCCCAGCCAGAAGCGGAAGCCCAGCCCGAGGCAGAATCCCAGCCAGAAAAGGAACCCGAACCCGAGGCAGAAGTGGAAAAAACCAGCGACAACGAGGTGGACACCACGGAGGCATCTCTGATGGAAACCCTGGTGGAGGGCATCGAAGATGGTCTGACCGCCGCCATGGACAACCTGGTGCCCGAAGAATTGGCTGAGGCCAGTGAGAACAAGGAGCCGGAACAGGAAACCGAGGAAGAGCAGCAGCTGCCAGTCACAGAAGCCATCAATGAGCAGGCAATTCCGGAAGTTGAGCAGCAAAAGGAGAAGGAACCCGAGCAACTCACCCTGGCCGATGAGGCAGAGGAAGAGTCTGTCCCAGCCTCGAATGCCGAACCAGTTGAGATTGCTCCAGAGCAGCAAGTTCAAGAGGAGATTGCTCCGGCTGAAAGTCTCGCGGAAGCCAAGCCTGAGGAGGAAACTCAGATGGAGGATGAGGCTAAGCCACTAGAGGAATCTAAACAAGAGGAGGAGGTCAAGGCGCAAGAGGAAGCCAAGCCAGAAGAGGAGCCCCAGAATGATGCAGAGATTCAGCCGGTGATCAGCGAAATGAAACCAGAGGAAATTCCAGCTGAAGTCCCTGCCGAGATCCCTGCTGAAATCCCTGCTGAAACCCTCGCTGAAGTTCCAGCTGAAACTCCTGCTGAAATCCCAGCTGATGAAATCCTAGCAGAAGTCCCAGCTGAAATCCCAGAAGAAACTCCTGCCGAAACTCTTGCCGAAACTCCTGCCGAAACACCTGCTGAAATCACAGGTGAAGTCCCTGCTGAAATCCCAGCTGAAACCCCTGCTGAAACCCCTGCTGAAACCCCAGCTGAAACCCCTGCTGAGATCCCAGCTGAAACCCCTGCCGAAATCCCAGCTGAAACCCCAGCTGAAACCCAAGACGAAATCCTATCCGACTCCATCCAAGCCGAACCCGAAGTGGAGAAGGAAGTCCAGCAGCCGGAGAAGGAAACCAAGCCCGCCGAATCCTCCCTGCTGACCACCATCATACCCATGGTGGTGGCCCAACCCCAGGTGCCATCGCAGCCCATCCAGGTCCAGGATAGTGTGCTCAACTACGTCAACGCCTCGTTCCTGCAGCAGCAGCCTACGGAATCGGATCTGCCCAAGACGGAGGATGAAACCCCTGTCAATGCCCATTTGAGACGATATGATGGCGCCCAAGTGTGGCGCATTGTGGTCCAGACCGACAAGGATAAGCGAATGGCCGATGAACTGCAGTCCAAATATGGTGGGTGCACTTTTTATATGCTATTAAATCAGTAAATAATAATATTTTTGCTTTTTTTAGATGGTCAGCTGTGGAAGGAGGTCAAGCAGGAGGTGGACTATCTGCTAAAACCCCAGGTTTTGGCCGCCGCCGAGCGTCACATTCGCGCTGCCAATCTTTCCCGCATTGTTCTCATCGACAACCTGCAGCACGTCATCGAAAAGGAGAATCCCCCAGCGGAGAAGATCGCCGAACTCCAGAACAGAAAGGGTAAGTGAATCCGAATGGAGATCAGAATGAGTTAGGAATGATTTGGGAATGCGTTCGGAATGAGTTCGAAATGAGTTCGGAATGAGTTATTATGGATCCTTTTCATAAAGAAGGAAAGAAAAATAAGAGCTACAGAATTGAAAGGGAAAGTGAATGCGAGAGGGAGAATGAATGATAAATGATTTGGGAATGATTTGAGAATGAGTATGGAATTAATTTGTAAGGAGTAAGAAGTCATGAAAAATGCTATTATCGAACCTTTTCATGAAGAACCCTGACAAGAGGAAAGATAAATAAGATCACAGATATTTAAAATAATACAAAATGATGACAGAAATAATATATTTTTATAGGAATCACAGAATTCAACGCCCTTATGATCTGAAAAATATGGATTCAGCGGATCCAAGAACAAAACTTCCGTGCTTTATACACCCATTACTCGCAGGGCAAAGGCATACTTCCCCATTTTTTTTATTTATTATTTATTTATTGAGTGCTAGGAGTATGAGACTTTGAGTGACAGGTGGTGCAATCAGGCGGTGGGCCGATGCCACCCCTTTTTCGCCAGCGAGGTGTCGCCGCAAACGAGCATTTAATGCACTCGGCGAGGGGCGTGTGAAAAGTCATCAAGCGCAAAGTGGCTTTGCCATAGGAACGTGCCACGTGCCACGAGGGCCCCCAACTACAAACTCCAAACTGCGGGGGCGAAAAAATACTCAAAAAACGCACCCGGAGAAAACAGGACAGGTCCTTGCAAGACGCTATTGTTTAATCGATAGCCGGCGAAACGGGGAGCGCCAGACGACGCCAAGACCAAGATGCCCACCTTCGTGGGTTTAGGGTTCAAGTTGAGGGTCAGGTTGCCTTCCTTCCCCACCAATTGACAGCAAGTTGAATGAACTTCGGGGGGTTATACTACATCATACTAACATATCTTCACTATTTTACACCTATCACAGGACACCGCCTCACCTGGCAGGCCTACCATCGTCTGGAGGACATCCATGGCTTCATTGACTACATGGCCAAGACCTATCCGGATATTTGCTCCACGGAAATCATTGGCTACTCGGTGGAGAAGCGACCCCTGAAGATTCTCAAGTGAGTGTGGAGAAGAACCATTCTTGCAATCCTTAATAATGCAATAATTCTAACCCCATTCAGGATTTCCAATGGCAATGCCCGTAATCCTGGCGTCTGGATCGATGGTGGAATGCATGCCCGCGAATGGATCAGTCCGGCAACGGTCACCTATATTGCCAACCAGCTGGTCGAGGGCTGGGAGGATCTGCCCGAGCACATGCGCAGCATCAACTGGTACATCCATCCGGTGGCCAATCCCGATGGCTACGAGTACTCGCACACCACCGATCGCCTGTGGCGCAAGAATATGCGTGCCCATGGACGCCAGTGTCCTGGAGTGGATCTCAATCGAAACTTTGGCTACAAATGGGGCGGCAAGGGCACCTCCGCCAGTCCCTGCTCCCAGACATATCGCGGCAGCAAAGCCTTCTCCGAGCCGGAGACCTTCTATATCTCCAAGTTCATCAGCGGTTTCCCCAGGGAGACCTTCCAGGCGTACCTCTCGTTCCACAGCTACGGCCAGTACATCCTGTACCCATGGGGCTACGACTACCAGCTAACCCAGGATCGTGCTGATCTTGATCGTGTGGCGCGACAAGCGGGAACGGTGAGTTTTTCTCTTAGACTTTTCAATTTTCATCAACAAGATTACACCTGTTAAGGTTCTAAGGGTTTTTCAAATGGGGTCTACATCATTTTTGATTATAATTTTAACAGTTGGTTGAGGTTCTTAAAGACCTCAGGTTATAAGATCATAATTCGTACACTTCTGAAATCCAGAACTTAAAGCAAACCAACAGTTATGGCCTTATGATACTGACATAAATTTTGACTCAATGACTCAACGGATTTATTTTAAAGTCAAGGCAGTGTACAGCATAAAAGGCTAAACAACTAAATAACATTCTTTAAAGACATATATTCAAAAAGTTTTAGGTTATAAACTTTTTTTTAAATAAAATCAGTTAGTTAGTCAAAATAAGTTAGTGTCATACGGCTATAAGTAGCCCTTTTAACTTAAAATTGCATTACTTGCCCCATTAGATTGTAGGTTTTCCATACAATAATGTTTGTTTTAACATTACTAAAATTTTAAATGTATTTTTAATTAATTTTTCAGAGCATCACCAAGTCGACGGGAGTGAAGTATACGGTGGGATCCTCCGCCACAACCTTGTACCCCGCCGCCGGAGGCTCCGACGATTGGGCCAAGGGCATTGCGGGCATCAAGTACGCCTACACCATCGAAATGGGCGACACTGGACGGTACGGCTTCGTCCTGCCCGCCAAGTTCATCCAGTACAATGGCAAGGATGGCGTTACCTTCGCCGACACGGTGGCCAGGGCCATTGCCCAGGGACGCGGAAAATCGGTGGCCAGGAACGGCAGTGGCAGCCGGAGGCGTCGCCACTAGTCCAGTCCACTTAGCTCAATGCGATTTTTTTGTAAATCATCCTAATGATTTTTTTTTTTGCTATTTATATGAATACTATTTATTTATTTATTTATTCTACTTGTAACTAGACAAATTGAACACACACAAAAGAACACACAAAAACAAAACAAAAAACTCATCTAAATAGACTGAAAAATGTTTATTAAAAAAGTAAAAAATTAAAAATTAAAAAAAAATGTTTTTCACTGGGGGATATGATCAATGGAATTTAAAAAAATTAATCTTTATTAAATTTAAAAAAAAAACATTTTTCCCTTAAAATTTAATTATTTGTTTTTACAAAGATATTTATAAAGATCAAAAATTCTAAGACAAAAAAAAAACAAAGTAAACCTTTATATTTAGTGGTTTAAAAAAAATCACCAAAATAAAATATTTATACCCTACCCTATACACTTCCCAGAGATTCAGTAGCTGCCCTCTTCTAGCCTATATAACAGTATGACAGTCTTGATGGTAGCACACCTCACCCAAAGTAAAAGTCCGAAATGAAAAGCATCAAAATCGCCGGCATTCCGTCAATATGCAAATCCATTGGCCTTAATTGGGGAATCGGGTGTATAATGGGGAAATGTAGAGGGGCGGCTGAAGCGGAGAAGGAGAACGCGGCTTGAAGAATGGAGACTGGAGAACAGAGAACGAAGAATAGAGAATTGAGAACGCGAGAATCCGTTAGCCGGAGGCTGCGACTCACCAATCGATTTGCGAACGCATTATATCCGCACCAACTGTCCAGTGGAACGCACCACAATCTAGAAACTAAAAAAGATACAATCTAAAAATACATTCCGATAAAATGCGCCTCCTTCTCTGGCAGTGGGCGTGGCTGGCGCTGGTGCTACTAATTGCTGGGAAAATGGAACTGGTGGGCGGTAGGAATTATCTGGATTTAGCACGCACCGATAATCGGCTAACGAGGTTACCATTCTTTGGCGGCGGTGTGGGTCACCTGCTGAGGTATCTCAACCCTTTGTCGCCTCATCCCTCAACGGAACGTGGAAGAATCTCGGAGCTGCGCAGCGATTTGGATGCCAACTATGTGAGCTATCGAGGTGCGCAGCTGTGGAAGCTCAACTTTAATGCCACCCGGGGTTCATCCATGGAGGAGCGGGAGCCCGGGGAGGAGGAGGAGCAGGTGGAGCCCGAGGAGCGGCAGGTGCTGGCCTCACCGGATGCCCAATTCAACGAGGTGGTCGCTTTGTTCGGTGAGTCAAAATCAATGCCCTGGAGGGCTTTCAAGAAGTCCGTCAAGCCGCACAAAAGAAGAGAAATTGTCAAGCTTAGAAGAACACTCGGGGTCAAGCAAATAGTGCTTAAAAATCTCTGATCTTAAATCTCATAAAAATCAAGAATAACACTCAACTTTCGATAATACGCGTAATTTAAAAATGGAAGTTCACTGTTGATCTTTGGATCAGTACTTTTTATATGATAAACCCCATGACCAATATGGTTTTCTTATAGAACGGAATATTAAAAAAATTATAATTGGTGTATAGGGTGTTTTACATCACATGAAAGTACTGACTCGAAGATCAAAAGTAAAGTTATACAGAATTTTAATTGTTTGGATAGCTCAACTTTCTTGTAGATCACTTTTTCGCATGTCAATTTTTTCAAGCTGTTATTTTCAGTCGTTAATTCGTTCTATTTTTTAGCATATTTCAAATTGTAATATCCTTATATTCTTGATATTTCAAACTTTTTTACAATTATTTTCCATTATAAAAAGACATTAGTTCGTCTACTTAGATTTGAAATCCATAATATTCACTAACTGCTATTTTCTTGACCCGGTCTGTGATAACGACCGGCGGTTTTTGGGCGGGTTCCGGTCAGCTCAGGGCAGGTCAGGTCAATTCGGCCAACTGAGCACGCATTCGCACGCATAAATTTGTGGTTTTGGCATAAATCAGAGAACCGCTAGTCTAGAACACAAAGCTGAGAGCCCAATAAGCCAACTAACGATTTAGTACGAAGATGCTGCCACGAGAAGCGCTCACGTTTGTGGCCCTTATCGGATCGGTTCTTGGCCAGAAGCTGGTGCTATGGCGGAGTGTCTCCGTGCCGGAGATCTCTGGAATCTCGGGTCTGCCCCTGGCCCTGTTGACCCTCAACAGCAGCGAGCTGTACGAGTCCACTTTCGAGGGTCTGCAGTGGCTATCGCCCCTGGATCTGCGCCGTTTCGACTTTCTCTCGCCGGGATCCTCGTACCAGATCAACAGGCGCTACCGGAATGGCAGCCATGTGCAGCGATACTACGGCTTTCAGCTATGGAAAATCCATGAAACCCGACTGGAACTGCCCGAACTCAGGGCCTTTTGGCGGCACTTTGGTATAAGCACACAGAAAAAATTGAAATATCAACAGCATTAGTCGTTATGTCTTAAATATTTACAAGACATGTTAACACAGCATATTGGTAATATTATCAGATTAATGAATGGAACATAAAAACTGTATATCGTTTCGCATTTGCAAAACCTACTTTCACAGTCGCAAATTTTTGTTAATATTCATATAACCTAATTTAGTTTTTGAGTCACTTTCTGCGAAAAATGCGACCTTACCTAGTTTAAAAAAAATATCGTGTATTAATTCAAATTTCAAGAAACGGTAAATGAAATAGAACATTCAGAAATTATAATGGCATACAATTCTGCTCTTTTTCAAGACCCTTTAGTAACTCCTTAGGTTAATATAAGAGAAAATCCTATAAAAACTAATTTACTATACTTTTTAACTCATTTTAGGCAGCGAAGTGTGGAATATCAACCAGGATGGTATTGACATCCTCATCGAGCAACGCAATGTGGCTGATGCTAAGAAATTCATGGATAAGGTCGGCTTCAGCTACAACATCATGATCGACGACATCGAATCGGCCATTGATGAGACCTACGTAGAAGTTCCGGCTGTGGAGCATCCCTTGGATTCTGTGCGTAACAATTCTCTGCCGTGGATGGAAAGACCGGGATCTTTGATGACCTGGCGGCGTTATCATGATCACGCGGATATTCAGCAGTTCTTGCAGACTCTCTTAGAAACCTATTCGGAAAATGTGGAATTAATCCAAATTGGGGTAACGCGCAACAAGCGCCCCCTAGAGGTCATCAGGTGAGAAAAAAGCAGTAGGAAACCGTGAATTCTTTAGGATTTTGCATATGTAGTAAAGAATACTTCTATAGGCCCTTATAAATGTTTTTAAATCTCCAGAGATTCCAATTAACTAAACTTCTCTCCTTTTTTAAGGGTCTCCAACGGCAATCCGGACAACTGGGCGGTATTCGTGGATGCGGGACTGCAGGCAAGGGATTGGCTGAGTCCCGCCGCCCTGACCTACGCCATATCCAAGCTGACCCATCTCTGGGTCAGGCCAAAGGGTCAGGGTCAGGGACAAAGGCAAAGCAGAGCTGATAAAACAATGCGTCGCATCGACTGGTACTTCTTGCCACTGGCCAATCCCGATGGTTACCAATACTCCCGCCACACGGATCGCCTGTGGACCAAAAACCGGGGCTACGACAGTGACAGCGGTTGCTACGGTGTAAATCTAGATCGAAACTTCCAGTACGGCTGGGGCGGCACCGGATCGACGAGTAATCCCTGTATGAATCTCTATCGTGGAGCAGAAAGCTTCTCGGAACCGGAAAGCCGAGCTATTCGAAGTTTCCTCTCCGGAATGCGAGAGTATTTGGGCGCTTATGTATCCCTCAGTGGCTATGGCCAGACCATCACATATCCCTGGGGCGATGCGGACTATGTGACGGAGAATCAGAGGGATCTCAAGCAGACAGCAAGGAGGGCGGTTCTTGCCCTCAGGCGATTGAACCAGGCGGAATACTCCTCGGGCACCAGTTACAAACAGAAATTGGCACGACCGGGTAACTCCGCCGATTGGGTCCAGGATCGCATCGAACCCCAGTTGGTGTTCAACATGTTCCTCAAGGATCAGGGACGCTACGGCTATCTGCTGCCTCCACATTATATAGTGGAGTCTGGCGAAGAGGTCTTCGAATTTCTTCGCACCATCGCTCAGCAATTGGAGTAGCTTCTCTATTAATCTCAATAATATGTAGCATCTGATAAATCAGCCACGGAAAATGATAATTGGGACTGGCTATCTCCAAGAAAAACCTTGTATTTATTAGCCTTTTAGTTTGTTTATTTATTTAATTTAAATTTGATCTATAAATAAAAATATTTATTTGGGAAAAGTTATATATCCAACAAGTTTTTTTGTCGCACAGCTAACAATTTTGGGTAGGTTTTAAGGAACACTGGAAAAATGCAGGCTCAAGTTTTCCTGGAACTTCAAAATGTATCATATCAAAAAGAGTTTTGAAAAATAACTACATTTTGGATGTAAAAAAAATGTAGAATAGAATATAATACAAATCGATTGGATTGTATTGTTAACATTATTTGAAAATGTCTTTTAAGTATATAACTTTGCTAACTTTTATGTTGGTTTTTTTATTGGACTTAAAAACAAATTCATTTTTAGCTCCATAATGAGGTAGAAGGGTTGGAATTCTGACTTTGGCAATAATAATGTTTCCCCCTTTTTTTATAAATTATAGAAAGGATAGAGAAAGATTATGAAAGTAATAAACTATGATAGCTCATTTCATAAATATCAGAAATATATTTTTCGCAAATTTAAACTGCATACTTTCAGGCTAAAGTGGGCCGGCAAAGCTCCCGCGTAGAACAGTTTCGTAAAGTTGGCCTAAAACCGAATTCTTCGGAGAGTGTGGGCCGCTCTTCTTCTTCTGCACTCTCTTCGGGCCCTTCTTCGGAGGGGTGTTGGGGGGTTAAGGGAGAGAACCGTTAACTGTTATTTGGGGGCCACGTGTTTGATTCGCCGCCAATTTCGATTCAAGATTTCGCAATAGCGCATATCGTAAATGGCATTACCCATTAACGATCTTATGTAAACCTGGCCAAAAGACGAATATAGCCAAGTAGAATGCTCAGCTGGCCAAATAGAAAGCTGAGAGAAAGAGGGGCGACCATAGAGAGCTAAAGAGAGCAGCAGAGCGAGCGCCAACTTTCACTTTCAATCGCGTTTCAAAAACCAGTAAGCTCGAACCA